TGCAATAAAATCTTATAAAGTTATCTATCAGACATTATTAAGCATAAAATTTTAAATTCCAAGGTTAATTCAACGGATGCTCGATAAAACAGTATGCAAAACAATTAATTCTTTTTGTGATGTACAGTATATATATTAAAAACAACACATATACAGTATGAGTATATAATACAAACATTTAAATCTACACTATATTGTATGCCCAAAATGAAAATGATGATTGACAAACGCCGACCTGCATATAATTTTCATTGTAATCAATAGCACAAATAAAAAGCATATTTGGCCATCATTCTTATGATTCTCATATCAGCAGAGAGGTGTCACAAAGCATTTTGCGTTTTTAAGAAGTAATAATTGCAATGGATTTCCGTATAGACTTAACCATAAGTTACGTTCTAACCATAATTTTTACCATCGTTGTTATTAAGGGGGTTAAAATACTTTATCTGTTTCATTTTATACAAAACGCACATACGTTATACGATTTAAAAAGGAATTTTGGACTTTCATTTTTTGGTTTTAAAAAGGTGAACGAGAGTAACATAATATTCAGACAAATAACGTAAAACAATTGCGTCAGAATAAGTAACAATTAAAGTCTTAAAACATTTCCAAGTATAAATAAGATGCGAAAATATACAAGTTATTGGTTTAAATGCAGAATTTATATGGTTTTAGAATATTTAATAATTTGCTATTAATAATTTGCTATTAATATTTGATTAAATATCTTTGTTGCTCAAATATGATGAATTATTAAATGAAAAATAAATTGTAACTCAATAAAAAAAACAGGTTCGACGATCAAAATAATTCAGAGAACATAATTCAGTAAGGAAGGTATTTAAATTTATCAAAATGGCGGATGAGCTATAAAATTCAAGTTAAATGTTTAAAAGGTTTGAACAAAAAAAAAATAAATAGTATTTATTTATTAATGTCTCTGTCAGGCTCTAAGTTCCCAGATTAATAGTAAAAAATGAAACATGGTGGTGGGTATGACAGGTTTTTGATGGTTCCTGGGGAAAATATAACACAAAAGACTTACGACATTGCATTACAAATACGCAGTAGTAAAATATCCTCCGCTATGCTTCGGACAATTAACATAAAAACATACAACTTGAAACCAAATCCGCTTCGGGTTGAATGAGAGGTCAATTCGAAATTTCCATAATTATTATTATTAGTCTGGAACGAAGTTATGTTCTAGAAGTGGTGACACAAATGTCCATATGTTCGCCCGCTCAAAATTTGAGTCGATACGTGATTGGACTCTTTCATTAATTACACTTGTGTTCCAAACAACAACATTTCAAAGATTTAATGATGTCTTTTACTAACATATAAATTAAGGAAAAAATGATTTGATCCATATAATTTGTAATACATGCATTAATGAAAAAAAAAAAAAAAAAGAGAACATAATCTCTTTAAAAAGGTTTTGATTGATAATGTTAATGACAAATTTTTTTTTTGCGGTTTTTTCGCCCCCTGTCTTCTATATGAAGAATTGTAACCAATCAAGGAATTGCAAATATAAAGATAGGTTAAATTTTTTTTTGATTTCCTCGTGCATAACAATGACATAAGATTTCACTACTTTTTTAAATATACAGTTTATAACTGATATAAACCCATTTCTAAATTGAGTAGATCGATCTCTCTTTTGATTTCGCTAAATTTAATATTAGATTACGAAATGAATACAATGAATGTATTACAAATAAAATTTCGTGAGAAACAAAACGTAGCGTAGCGTGAACTAAAAATAATGATGAAATCAAAAAAAAAAAAAAAAACTGTAATATAATTTTACGCACAAATTAACAGAAAAATATTTTAATTAATATATGATTGATTTTAGTTAGCAATAATTATTTTTTAAGCTTCTTCCATTTCGATATCAGAGTGATTCAATATATTATTTTAAAAAAAAAAGAAAGGAAAAGGAAGGAAGAAAATTGATGGGTATTCTTTAAGAGAAGCAATCATTCGAAGTAGATTTATTTACGAAACCATATGACAACAATTAAAAATTATTTGACATTATGAAAGGATTGCTAGGAAAATGGGGTTCTGAGTATTTGCATTTTAATTTTTGATGATATTAGAATAAGAATTATATTTTAGACAAAAAATGCTCAGAACTCCATTTTCCTAGCAAACCTATAGGCGTTTACCTTTTATTTCTTCACGGAAATGATATAAAGAGAACAAAATTACAAAAAAAAAAAAAAAAAAAAATATGAAAACCAATTTAAAAAAAAAATATTTATATTATATTTTTTTTAAAAACATAAAATGCCCTATCATATTAATTACTATTATCATAATAATTACAATACCATATATCATATAATCTTACAATTGTATGTTCTTATAACTATATCGGTCTTCGAATTATATAGACCTAATAGACCGCGTAAATATTTAAATAACAAATTATAAATTAACTTTAATTTCAAAGATTTAATTTACGTAATAAATAGATTAAATTTAAAGTAAATAAATAATTGTTTGTTCCAACAATCTAATATATTCTTGATCGTTAAGCGTTGTGTTCATTTCATATGGAACTTCGGAAATATTATTATTGAGAGGGGAATTAACTAATGAACTATATGTAGAGCTTCTATTAGGAAAAATAACGTTATTATAATGGGAAGAATTGAAGTCGATAGTAGAATCCTGAATCGGGTGAAAGTCACTTGCTGAAGTTTGCGTTAATTTTGAATTTTCAAATGGAAGAACCTCAAAATCTCGATTGACGTAATCAGATTCTGCACCTCTCTTAGCAAGCCGACCGTTTTCTTGACTGTTTTCAATTTCATTCATATGCTTATCAAATACAATTTGAATATTATTTTGATTATACAAAGATTTAGCATCGTCAGCTAGCTTATTGTAAAAGTCTTTGACTTCTTGTGATTCTTCCTCCCAAGACTTTTGTGCGATTTTAGAAAGATTACCCATACGGGGTAATTTAAAGTTGTTATTACGATATTCTTTAGTTAATGCCATTCTATACGCGATAAAACCGTTTGGAAATGTTTTTGCTCTATTTTTGTTCGATGTTTTAGATTTATTAGCATTTTTGATGACATCATTTGCTGTTAAAGTGGGAGAAAAAGTCGGTTTGATATCAATTAAAACATTACTCGAGCTGTTTTCACTAAAATTAGTTTTTCGATCCATCCCAGTATTGATTTCATCGGTATTTGAATTAATATTAAGAGAAGTAGCGTATTGATTTTTTTTTAAAGTTTTAGGCATACTTATAAAAATGGATAAAATATGATATAAAATCAAGTATTTAATTTATGAAAAAAAAATTTCTTTTTTTTTTTATCTACAGAAATTCTTCTATTTTATAGTTCTCACGAATCGAATATTTATCTAAAAATACTTTGAAACGGAGACATTCATATATATGGATGAAACATTTTTTTAGTAAGGATCTACCACTTTAAGATTTGTATACATAAAATAAATTAAAAATACATATTTAGTAATTAAATCTTAATGTAATTTAATTAAAGATCTGTTCATTTCTTATCCGTGATGTTCCTGTTCCTGTTTTTATAAACATCATCAGCCAATAAAATTTCAGGAACAATTGAGTTGAAATATTCGCTTCGCCACTGCTATGCATTTCTTTTATATAATAAAAAGAGCGATGGGTCCGTACATTTTTGATCGGCAAGATATACAAGGTGGCGGTGTGGTGCTAAATTTCCAAAACCAATTAAAGAGAGGCTAAATTTTTTTGATTCCCCGTTATGAGTTGTGTATTACATGTTATACTTATTTAGTTTAGGGAATTAAATTAGCCCTGTGCCTATCGCGTGATCATCATGGATAACAATACAATGACAAACAAATCTAAATTGAGTAAATCGATCTTCGCGTAAATTAAAAAAAACATGAATATGAAATATTAAAAAAAAATTGCATTGTAATAATATGAAGCATTCGATACGATATAAAAAAAAATAACCCATTTTTTTTATATAATTTTAGATTAGCGAAATGGAATATAATGTAAAATTTCTTGATCAAAGTAACAGTCTCTACCACTGAAGTACCAAAAATTTGTGGCAACAAGCCACAATCACTTTCCACGCCACAACAGACATGACAATTTATTATCATGGTTACTTTATACTTAAAGATATCCAAGTAAGTTAATAAGTTGTTCTTTACTCCAAATATATGCTTCATGAATTAAATTTTTTGCTGTTTTTGTCACATGGTATTGCAAATCCAGGTTCACAAGCATTAACAAATTTACGAAAAGCATGGTTGCGATAAAATAATAAAAAAAAAAACTATTTTATATAATTTTCAACTATTTTACGCACAAATTAAAAGAAAAACATTTTAATTATTGAAATTTTACTTCATATGATTTTTATAGTAAAATAAGTCCAGATTTAACTTTAACTCATAAAAACTTTTTTATAGATTTCCCTCCTTTCTATTGACAAGTTCCCATATTATGAAAAAAAGAGAAAGGAAAAGGAAGCGAAATATTGGAAGAAAATTGATGGTTATTCTTTAAGAGAAACAAACATTCGAGGTAGATTTATTTACGAAACCATATGACATCATATGAGAGGTTTTTCTAGGAAAATGGGGTTCTGAGTATTTTTTAAAAAAATTGATTTTTATTGCATTTTAATTTTTGTTGATATTAGAATAAGAATTAAACTTGACAAAAAATTCTCAGAGCTCCAAACCTATAGGCGATTACTTCTTATTTCTTCAAGGAAATGATATAAAGAGAACAAAATTACAAAAAAAAAATAAAATTTGAAAACCAATTTAAAAAATATTTATATTATATATTTTTTATTTTTTTTTTACAAACTAAATAATGCCCTATCATATTAATTACTATTATCATAATAATTACAATACCATATATCATATAACAAATTATAAATTAACTTTAATATTCAAAGATCTAATTTACGTAATAAATAGTTTAAAATTTAAAGTAAATAATAAATTGTTTGTTTCAACATTCTAATATATTCTTGATTGCTAAGCGTTATGTTCATTTCATATGGAACTTCGGAAGTATTATTAATGAGAGGGGAATTAACTAATGAACTATATGTAGAGCTTTTATTAGGAAAAATAACGTAATTATAATGGGAAGAATGGAAATCGATAGTAGAATCCTGAATCGGGTGAAAGTCACTTGCTGAAGTTTGCGTTAATTTTGAATTTTCAAATGGAAGAACCTCAAAATCTCGATTGACGTAATCAGATTCTGCACCTCTCTTAGCAAGCCGACCGTTTTCTTGACTGTTTTCAATTTCATTCATATGCTTATCAAATACAATTTGAATATTATTTTGATTATACAAAGATTTAGCATCGTCAGCTAGCTTATTGTAAAAGTCTTTGACTTCTTGTGATTCTTCCTCCCAAGACTTTTGTGCGATTTTAGAAAGATTACCCATACGGGGTAATTTAAAGTTGTTATTACGATATTCTTTAGTTAATGCCATTCTATACGCGATAAAACCGTTTGGAAATGTTTTTGCTCTATTTTTGTTCGATGTTTTAGATTTATTAGCATTTTTGATGACATCATTTGCTGTTAAAGTGGGAGAAAAAGTCGGTTTGATATCAATTAAAACATTACTCGAGCTGTTTTCACTAAAATTAGTTTTTCGATCCATCCCAGTATTGATTTCACCGGTATTTGAATTAATATTAAGAGAAGTAGCGTATTGATTTTTTTTTAAAGGTTTTAGGCATACTTATAAAGATGGATAAATATAAGTATGTTAAATTATGAAAAAAAAAATTTTTTTTTTCTTTTTTTTTTTTTTATCTACAGAACTTTTTCTTTAATTTATAGTCCTGACCGAATATCATAATATCAAATTGTATGTATCATATCATCATCAGCCAAATCAGCCAAATCAGCCAACTCGAATGTACAAAAATGGAAAAAAATTTTTTGTGGGGGTAAAGTAAATAGTAAATAGAACATAGAACAGACATGCATGCACTATTGTTAAAAGTGGCAGGGAACGCGAATTTGTTATTTTTGTGGATTTGATAAAATCAATCTTGCCTTTTAAAGTTTCATGAGGTATTTGTCGATCTGGATCCAATTTTCTTCTCGTGCTTTTTTAGATTTTTCGTGTTATTATCTTTAAAAGTGAAAATAAAAGGATATGTTATGTTTTATATTATTTAATATAATTTTATGATAACTTATTTATAACTTAAATTAATTAGAATATAATAACAATTTTATATAAGTAACAGTGTTATAAAATAGTGAAACTAGTTAATTTGTATTTTTTGTTAGATAATTAATTTATAAAAGTTATCTTTATTGCTTTATTTTTTGTGCCATCAGATGAAATTATTATTTAGAATTAATGACGCAATAAAAACCAATGGAATGAATTTAATCGTAGTCATTTTTCATTTTAAAAAAATTATACAACTTGAAAAAAATTCCAAAAAAATGGTCATTTATTCATATTTATTAAGTCACTCAGCCCTTTATGACATCGTTTTTTACCTTCCAATCCATTCGTCTCGAATAATTGATATAATTTTGGAAGGAAAAATTCTTTTAAATAGACTTCGTTTTGCTTCGAATTTCAATAGGATAGGATTAAGAATATCTCGAGTGCCTGCTGAAAATTTTTTTGCACTAATCTACTTACGTACGCTATAATTAAACAATCACATATATGTATATATATATTGTTACTAATATTTTTACTAACCTGAAATTAATTAATTATAATAAATTGAATAGATTTTAACTTATAAACCGTTTTTCTGAAGGTTTGAAAGTAAAAAGTATGATTTTTTAATAAACTCCTTCCTAATTTCATAGATTTAATTATTTTTTATTATGAGTTGTATTGGTTGGATTTTATTTTTTTTTAAAAAAAAAAAAATCTTAAAAACATAAACAGTCAAAAGTATAAAGACCTTGTGATATATTTTTTAACTAAAACTTTATCGGCATAACTATATCCTAATTTATCATCTCTATTATCTTTTGACTATTTGTGATACAAGATATTGTAAAATTTTAACTGAAAATAAACAAAGTAATGTTTCAAATAAATTAAGAGTTTGGCGTTTCAAACCCATTTATGGTAGTTCTAATTTGATTGTTCAAAGTAATAGAAAAATCCAAATATGCTTTTCTTTGTTCATAAAATTAATTTGTGCTACTTGATATTTTTTTTTTGAATATTAATTAATATATACATTTATTTTCATTTTCTTACTATACTTGAATTTTTATCGACTGACAGAAATCAATTCAAGGATTTTCAATAAATATTTCTTTTTGTAAACTTATATACTGCTCAGGACAAGTATTTTTTTTTATTATTTTTTGACGGTTTTATCAGAAAAATAATAAAATTACTGCAGAGTAAATTAAAAGTGACAGTTATTATTTTTATATGTTGAAGATGAAGAATAGTCAAAAAGATAAAATCAAAACAAAAGAAATAATATAGTTTATCTTTATAACTTTAGGCATTATTAAAAAAAAAAAAGTGAACTATATATATAATCAACATAAAAGAAAAAACCAATTTCGTGAAAAAAACTATCAGCCTTATTAATTAAAATTTCTAGAGTGGTTATGTTATAAAATTAATATTTAATTATCCGATTTGGTAGATAAAATTGAAAAAAATGGGATAAGAAACAGTTAAGCATTCTAAATCTTTCTAAATCTATTATATATTAAATCCGATGAATAGTTTGAAGTGTTAATACTTAAAAAAAAAGTTTTTTACATTTTCACTAGATGATTCGAATACTTCTAATGGTGGCTACTTTTAACAATCGCTTAGAATTAGTGACACCAATCAGAGTCGCGGCTTAGTATAAATTATTCAGCATAGCAAATCACGAGCCAACTTAGTTTCTAGGGAATTAGCAATTCTCGTTTCACAATGTCGCACTAGCCACATGCAAATCATGTAATGCCGAGATTAGATGAAATTGGTCATCTCACTAAGAGATCGTTAATATTAGTATATTTCACAACAACTACTTGACTTTAAGGAATTCGTTCTTTGGCGGTTTCCATTAAACAAAGCGTTGTTACTATTCGAGTCTCTCTGCGCACTATCTTGGATATCCTTGTCACATTATTACTATAGCAAAAGAATGAATAATTTGGAGAGAGAAGTTCAATAGTTCGCTTGTCATCTTACAGCTTGTTATAAAGTTGATGCGACAAAGATGATAATAAGGTAATTATTTTTTGATTTAATATTTGATATTTGATATTTGATAAATTATACTTTCTATGCTCACATCGACCGGGTTATTCCTTCTCCAAGATTACATCGTATCTTTGAAATAAAGTTTGGTAATGAAAAATAGAAGGATGAAAAAAAATTTTTTGTGGAAGTGTTGGATTTATTTCAATTGAGTTATTAATAATTTAAAAGGACGTCAATGATTGATTCAGGTACATTCAGAGTACGAATACCCTAAGAGATATTGTTTGAAGAATTATAGAGAAAGATGAAGAAAAATTGCGGAGGATTTTCCTCTGACTAATGTATTGAAGAGGATTTATTCAATTGGAAAAGGAATTTGCACAGTTAATGGGCTATGTAATAAATGGAAATAATCCAAATGATGTACCATTATTGATTCAAGAGCACTCAGAGAACTATGAAAACTGTTGAAGTAGACTTGTTTCAATTGAAGCGGAGTATGAATCCAGAGGAAAATTATTCAAGGACGAACAATTGTTGATTCAGGAGTTCTCATAGAACGACAAGTTTTTAGAGAGGTTTTTTAGGGAATAATCATCTCAGCTTCGTTCAAAGCTTCAGCCCATTCATATTCACCGATTGGACAACTTCATTTGAAACGACGCTTCTAATATTAAAGTGTCAAATTGTTACAAAAATTTTTCTCTGTTTCATTATATTATACGCAATATTTGAAATGTAAGTAATTCTTTGTCATGATTTTCACGAATGAAATTTACAAAAATTTAACCACACCTTTTTTTATTTTTTTACTGAAAAGAGAATTAGCAGTGATATCAAAAAACTTTTACCTGGAATTAGGATTGCTTTGTTTACCATTTTTTTCAACGACTTTCAAACAAAAGGATTTTTAAAAATTATTAAATCAGCAATAACATTTCTGAGTCATCTCGTATTAAGTTCAAAGAAATCAAGAATTACAAGATCAGCTGGATATTAAAAAAAGCGAGAATGAGAAAACGCGCCAATTTTTTTAATTTTAACTATCGTTTAAAACTTTGTTTAATTATTTGTCAATATCTAGTCCTTGTAATTAATAAAAGTATTTAAAATACCGGACAATGATTTGTATGTAATTTTAGTTTATTTATTAAATTTAAAAGAAAAAAGAAATCAATATAATAAAATTTAAAAGAAAAATCATAAAAAAAATTATTAATAAATTGTTAATAATAAAATAATAAAAATTCTAAGTTTCGTTAAGCATCACAATGCTCTGTAAAAAAAATGCACTAGAAATAGATCACAATCTTCCAATTTTCAGTTTTCATTGACCACCAACATTTCCCGCCGGATAAAGTGCTTCGTAATCTAAACGTTCAGCATTTTGTCTAATTAAAATTTCGACAACTCTCTCGATATTACCATTATACCTTTTTAATAATTCTTCGTTTTTTACATCATCTTCCCAAAATCCCATAGAATGAAGTGAATTGATCTTTTCTTTTAACGCTTCTTGACTCAAATCTTCTTGTCGTCGTTGACAACCACCGTTGGAATTCCATGGCCCATTAAACCCTGTAGATCTTGAGAAATTTCCAAAACCATTGGCTGATACATCTTGAAAGACTCTTTGAATCCAAGGATTTGAAAGTAATTCATGAGGTGACGAAAAGAAATTAGAGAATTGACCAAATTGACCAAAATCATTGGCCCTCTGTTGTCCCCCTTCACGTGAATTATTGTTGGTTTCACTTCCTTGATTTGGAAGATCACCTTCCGAACGAAAAGTGTTCAACCATTGAGCCCATTGATTGAAATCCACAGGAACATTTTGTAAGATGTTATCCATGATGGTATTTGCTTGTTCAACCAATTGAGGGTTCTTTAAAAAGACATCGTTAAATTGATCATGTAATTTCTGAAATTGTTCAGCCAATTCAATGAATGGAGCTCTTTGCTCTTCATCATTATTAGGAGAAGGTTGTTTATTCTCCTCTTGTTGATGTTCGTTAAACGCGGAAGCTGAAGGTTCAGCAGGAGATTCCTTTTTTTTGCCTTTTGAGACTGAAGGAGTTGAAGATTCATCATTGACGAAATCCATCACGGTAACATGCTTAAGTGCGTCGTCAAGAAAATATTTCTCTTTCTCAACTGGAACAAAGTCATTCTCCGACGCATTACTCGAGAATGTATCAGCAAAAAAATTTTTTGACTTTTCCGGATTAAGAGAGAATTTCAAAGTAGATTGAGGTGATTGAGAGGATAAAAATTCTTGAAGTTCCAAATTGGTTGATAAAGTGATGATGTCCCCATCTTCATCCTTGTAAGAAAGTGAGAATTTTAAAGTGGAAGGTAAAGAAAATAATAATCGAAGTTTTGATTCGAGGTCTGACCAAGTTACGGTATCGGGAATTGAGAAACGACGAACGGTAGATTGATAAGAAACTTTGAAGGATGTCATTTGATTTATTCCTTGATATTAAAAAGGTAGAAATTTAGGTAATTTAGTAGTTTTGTTTTATTTCTTCTTTGTTATTGATAGAATTGGTTTGTTGAACTTTTTTTTTTTTTAGAGAAACAATTTCAACTCCATATTTTATACCTTTTTTTTTTGACTTTTTACGTATGTCAATTTGCTTACGAACTGTCATTACGAAACCAAAAATTTTATGTTACGTATATAAAGACGTAATACTAAAATAGTAATAAAATTAAAATTATGACATGTGGTTGTCACGTAATGATATTATATTTAATGGTCAATGTATGGAATTGGTTGGAAATTTATAATCTGTAAACGTATGATGATTACGAATTCGGGAAAAAAAAATACGGTAACGGCATCGGTCGGATTTTCGGTTTCGAATTAACCCGAACCAAATTTTTTTTTGTACGCCCAAACCTTTTTTGTGCAAATCAAAAAGTAAATCAAGTGAAATGTGATAATCGATAGGTTGGATCTGATTGGTCTATTCGATTTTATCGTAAAAAAAAGGTCGCTAAGGTGATGGGATTAATTTTTGATTGGTTGAATGCCATGGTATTCTGGTACCCTACAGTTTGCCGTATATCAAGAACAGGTGGAAATGCCTCCGAAATGTCTGGTGACATCGATACAAGCATAAATTGAAATTATTAATCATGATCGATGTTAAAATTAAACTACAAAAACGCGTTCTATAAATGATCACCCAATTTCAAAAAAAATTATGAAATACTTGAAATCAAAAATTGATCAAAGCAATAATAACTTTATATTTTGTTTTATTTATCAAATTCATTAACACATCGACAAATCAAGCATGTATATTTTGAAAACTATTTCTTTTCTTTTTTTTAAAAAAAAAGAGTAAAAAAAAAAAAGATTCTATGGAGAGATAGAAGATCAAGAGAAATACGAGATGAACTAACAATGATCACCAAAAAAAAAAAGAAAATAAGGGAGCGAAAACAAGATCATCTCAACACCACACGACATAAAGGATAAAGAGAACAATCAATAAATATATAATATCCACTAAAATGTTGTTATAATAAATAAATCCTTCATCGGTCCAGTCTTCTAGATGGAGTTCTTTATACAAATAAAAAGGCATGTAACTTTTAATCTCATCTACGGGCAACCAAAGGTTCTTATTCTTCTTGAAACATAATTTGCTTGCAATTGTAAAACGTAATTTCATGATCTTTTGAAGAATTTGTTTGACTGTGTCTTTTTCCATATTTGAGATATCAATTTGAAGGACATTATACGTGTGAAATAATATTAGTTCTCGTTGTAATTGTTGCTGTTGTTGATCATTGTCTACTTGTAGTTGTTGTTCATGATTTGCGTCGAGATTCCGGATGGTCGTCATACAACAAGCTGTTACGACCGTTTGTGTGACACCTTCAAGCTCTTTCATTAGGATAGAATTAATGAAATTGGCCTCACGTATCAAAAGCATAAAGTGGACATGTTGGAACATTCTTTGAATATATAACATTCCATATCTTATAAATTCGACAAACAAAAAGAAAAACCCCCCACTAGAAATAATAATAAAAAAAAATAAAAATTTTAACAAAATTTATCGAGGAACCACTTTCCCAAGTTTCAAAAAAATCTAACTTTAACTAATACTATTTTTTGATATGTACTTACGTAAAAACTTCTCTTCTTAACAAATCCATTTTCTTTATGATTTGTTTATGTAGTAGGAAATAGAAAAGGAAGGTTCAAGAAATGATAGTATGATATTTCCTCGCAAGAAGAAAAAGTGCAGCAAATTTTTTTTGGGGAAGAGTTCGTAGGATAATCAGATTTTTGTTCTATATATATTATGTTAATCATATGGTTTTTTTTTTTTGGCACAAGGTAGTGAAATTTTCATCATCAGTGATCTTTTTATAAAGTAAATCAAACACGCGTTAATGAGAAATTTTAGTACATCGAATATATGGCCGAGATTATATGGGGAATGCGAACGCTGCAATAAACCAGAAAAATTGTACTACAAAAAATGTAATCTAATCTATTTTTACGTTTGGACCACTTATTTTTAAAGTCATCATCTATGGTTTAAAAAAAAATTTGTGATACACGTCTAGAATCCTTTTATTTAATCTTCTAATTCAGCCAATCCCTGTCTTCATCACCATCACGAGAGATCAAAATTACTAATGCTCAACTTTATTAGCATGAACCATTGTAAAATTTCAAGTTTTTTCGCAAATCTCTATAATCATAGTGTAAATTTTTAAAATACAACTACATTTCTGTCAACAATTTGATAACAAAAAAAAAAAAAAAAAAATTTCAATGTAAATAGGAAAAAATGAAAACTGGTAGTTTACTAGAATTGTCATAGAAAAAATCGCAAATTTCTATGTTAAGATTACAAAAATATGATGAATATGGGAAAAAAAAATTGGATAAGGATAAAGGACCGAATTCACCATTCACTTTAAATTACTTGGTTGGTCTCGGTCTCTTTATGGTTTTGGTTGGAGTCTCTGGTGTAGTCATTTCATTTGAATCCGGTGGAGGAGGAGTTGATGAGCCAATTTCCATATCAACAATAAGTTCCTCTAATAAATCATTAACCAATCCCTGTAAACCATAAATCATGATTATTATAAATGACAAATAAAAAAAAAAATGAAATGTATATTACTATACGAACTCGAATATTCCAAGCCCAACTTAAACTAACACGCAGATTATGATAAAAAGCAAACGTTAAAGGGTGATGAATTGTTTTAATTAAATGAAATCGATAAACTTCGCGTAATTCAATCAAATAAACTCGAACTTCTGACATGTATTGCTGATGAAAATGAAAAGTTTGAATAATGCTTGTTTGTTATCAAATCTTTGGAATTCAAATAATAATAATAATAATAATTCTATACATATCTACTTACATGAAGTCCTACAATATAGAGACATGATGGATCTTTTTTAATCGTTCTAAATTTCTGTCGAATATCATCCAACATGTCTTTCATCATCCTCGGGAGATTAAATTCATCCGAAGCCAGTTTAGTGAGATCATATTTGTGGGGACCACCACATGCCAAGCAACAAACCAATTCATAATTATCAAATATGCATGACATATCTGCTAGGTGTCCCCGTTCTACTTTTTCTTCCAAAATTTTCTTTTCGCTATTACGTCTTCGGATAGTGGATTGGACTGTAACCTCGCCCCTATTTTATTACAAATATCAAACAATCATTATCTTCTATTAAAAACAATAATTTCAAATAATTCTCATAACACTCAATTGTGATAACAAACCATGGCACCCGACAACGCCCATCAAGTCTTAATGCACCTTCGAAAATAGGAATCAAATAACCCCCAAACCACTCTCTCTCGTGACAATTTGTTTGCATTAATGGATTATTTTCCGATTCAAAAGCATTAAGACTGAATAATAATAAAAAAAAAATTTATCAATCAGAACCCATAATATAAACCCTTTTTTTTTAAAAAAAAAAAAAAGTACGTATTAATTTAACTCACAATCGACATACGGCATGCTCCACCCACCACAATATTTTATTCCAATCGTCTTTATTATATGAAAAATATTCTTTATGATTAGGAGCCTCAATGTTTCTTAAATTTTCCCATAGATCGCGAGCTTGATGAACGTATTTTATTTTCTATTAGTCAATATACTTTGAGGGGTTGGTAAGACAATCAAATGCGAGTATAAATTTGTCAAATAACAATATACCTTTTCATTTATTCGTCTAAACAAGTAATCAAGGATTGGTTCCAACTCTTTATAATATTCAACTCCAACTACAGCAGGGCGATCAGAAATGAGTTTATTCCAATCATCTGGTGTAAATTCCTTTGAAATTTTCGACGCGGGTGTAAGATCGAGAATATGACTGTGTGCAAGACTGAATTGACACATGAGTGTAAATGATGTGCATAGTGAACCTTAATCAATATGGAACTTACTCATATTTGGATGTTGAATCTTTTTTACAATAATTCTGTATAATATTGAGTAATGACGAAGAATGTATTGGTGATGAGTCGTCTTCTAAATTATTCTGAACGTTTATTGAAATTGATGCTGTAGATGCTGACGAGGACTGTTCATCATATTGCTCTATCGATTGAATATGATTTAGTGCTCAATTTATGATGTTCTGAATCGACCCAAAATTACATACCAAATCTTGTTCTCTTATGCTCCCTCTCCACCGAATCAAATTCTATTTCAGAATACAATTTAAAACCTCTTCGAGCTATTTGAAGTCCAGATTGAGTTCCCTTTTTCTGCGATAAAAGCCTAATAAGAGCCATAAAGAGAATTTCAAAAGGAATTATAATTAACACTCACCTTTTCAATATCCGACTCCAAGTCAATTAGATCAGATTCCATTGTTAATGAAACGATCTTATGTTGATTTTCCCATATTCTTAGGTTGTTTTGATTATTGGAAATTTCCTTTTTTTGTTATTATTATTTTTTTTTTAAAAAAAAAAAGCTAGTAATTAACACGGTGGGAAGGAAGCTCACAAGAAGCCACGGACGCTCGGCCCTTCTCCAATGACACACGGCCACAGATTTAGCTCAAGAAAGCATTCCTTGTTTGAACACGCGGCTCAACCCTGTGTTTTCATGACCACGCACACACGGCGCTACTCGTTGGATTTACACTCGGCACCTCCTTCTCATCACTCGGATGCCGGATTAATCATGAAGTACACCAGCACCACCCTTTTCAAAATTTGTTACAACATTATTTGAACTTACAATTAATTCTCTTTGCATTCTAATTGCAGCCATGTACGCGGGATGTGTATTATTATCGTCATAGATTTGTTTTAGGCATCTTAATCACCCAAAGATGTATGAGAACAATGTTTAGTAGTATGCATAGGTGGTGGATGATTTTCTAACCAGTACATGTCCCAATTATTAACATTCCACGTGTCATGATTACGACTCCAATAATCTGAGGATAATCAGAGTGTTAGAAACTATATTCTTTTTGTTGATAATTGACGCGATGTAAGACACTTACTTGGATGTCTCAATTCCAAGGTATTGCTTGTTGAAATAATACCATTAGTCGACAAAGAAGCGAAACTTGAAACTCCCTTGAACATGTCTTTTGTTGCCAGATCACAAATAGTTTAATTAAAACATTGACAATTGCAAAAGGATACAATCTTTTATCTTTTATACTAATTAAACCAATTTTCCACGTTAAAACCGTGACATCACGCGAATGTGTGACAGGTTATGCCGAAAAATTTACTTTTTTGGAAATGATCGACATGATGATCGGCACTTGCGCCACAGACAATTTTCTACGAATTTTTTTTCTTTCGAAACATAAAGACATTTGTATGATTGGTCAATTTTTATGTAGATCATTTCCTAATTATCAATGAGGTGATTAATTTTTATTGGCTCAAATTTTATTATTAAATTAAATAAGATTTTTTTAAACAGATTATATTTTTTAGTTATTAAATATATCAATAATAAATTACTAATTATATATATTATTATTTTGAAATTAATAAAATACAATTAATTTTCAAGTACTATTATTAAATATTGATAAAAATTATTAATTATATATACAGTCAAACTTCTATGTAACGATACAGCTGTTTTGAGAAAAAAATCTCGGTATATCAAGTTATCGGTATATTAAGAAAATTTTATATACTAATATTACTATAATTTGTTAATCAATATCGGTATAAATTAATAAGCCAATCAGATTTCAATAATAAATATCTTAAGAAAAATGTCAATTTGAAAGCAATATTAAAAAAGAAATCA